GTTTAGAAAAAAATGTTGAACGATTTGGAGTACTTCGTACTCAACTATGGGAGAGCACTGAGCCGTCCCGGAGAGACTGAATTAGAATGCCAGATGAGATCTACACGTACTTCTGGAGGCACCAAATAGTAACACTGACGCTTGCTGCATGCATACAGTAAACCACCTTCAAGATTACTCTACCCACGTCAACGGGTGTACTGTCGATTACATTACGAATCATGCGATTTCGCAGTCTCTAGTCACAGCGTGATTATACGCTTCATATCCGGCACAAACTTATTAAGCTAACGCTTTGTGATACACCATTGCGATAAAGCAGCAAGCGAGAAAACGTTCATCTGAACTACCTCGAGCCATGACTCACCTTTTCATAAACGCCTCCCTGGGCGCCGCCATAGCCCTCCTTGGGCTGTGCAAATTGGCGCGTCCCCTCGAAACTGCACTGACAACGCTGCGCCCTTAGCCTTTGTGCTCACGCGCACAGCCCATCATGGCGGCGTTTTTTCCTTCCTGTGAAAAGGTGTATAGATCCGCCACTGGACCCGCCTCCTGTCCTGGTTACGGCGCATGAAACCAAACAATTTGTGTTTTAGCAAAGCACTGCTCTCGCTGCCACAATGAGTGGGTTTAACGTTGAGCAAATCAATGTTCTGTCGTTCTACTTTTCGTATCTTTCTTTTCTGTTCCCACAATTCTCTTTCAGCGATGTTTCCAGGTCTAGTTTGGACATCTGACACAGTTTAGTAATTAAGTGTGCGTGTCTATTTATAGACAAGGCAGAAAACAAAAAATGACAGCAAGGGCCGTCGCTGGCAGCTACAGACCTTCAGTCTAGATTTCATTGATTGATTGATTTGTGGGGTTTAACGTCCCAAAACCACCATTTGATTATAAGAGACGCCGTAGTGGAGGACTCCGGAAATTTTGACCACCTGGGGTTCTTTAACGTGCACCCAAATATGAGTACACGGAGACCTTCAGTCCTAACATTGGGTAAGAAATAAAATAAATTAAAAGAAAGTGCGAAAGATAGCGGGAAAAGTAGAGATGGGAAGACTGATAAAAAAGGCATGTGAGGCAAATACGGCCTAGCACCGGTTTCACAAGAGCGCAAGTCGCTTGCGTCTATGCACGCGGCAAACTGCGTGTGTTGGTACGGCGATGATGCGAGAGAAGTGGCGATACTTTCTTCATTTCATGTTTCCATCTCCCAACGTAGTAACTTCATACCCGTGTTTCCGAAACCACTCCTCTACGTGATGCCCCGAGAGGGTTAGTAAGGGGTGTGGCTGTTTCTCCGAAATGAAACGCCCACCTGCCCATAAGAACACCCAATTATCGCAGTTAACGGTCTAATCTCGATAGCTTAAACGGACTTTGGAAAGATGCATGGCTCACGCTGTATCGATAAAAACCACTCATTACACTGTTATCTCTTAATACCCCTCAATATGCTATTAGCAGTAGCAAGCTTGCCCACTTAAAAAACGTGGTTTCCAAATAGCAAAAACGACTTACAAGAAATTGGTGGGTGGCGACGCCCTACTCAGCCTTTACGCACCAGCTATGATGTCAAACGTTTATGCCAACGTCCGCTAAGATATTTTCAAGTGCGTGGAAGGACAAAAGTAAACGGACAGGTTCTGAAAAGACCGAAGGTGCGAACTTAGCAAATTTTTAAAACGTATACTACTTTGTGTTCTTGGGTAGACAATCGTTGCTGATCAAAGTATACCGAATGACACCTACCAGTTGTACGCCCACTTATAAAAGCTCATAGTAGGGGTATCTACTTGACGCTCTGAAGTAGGTTTTGATTTGGGGGCCAATAATGGTAATAAGTGCTCGGATTTTTTGCAGTGCACCGTATTGAAAACAGCCGTTTCAATACGGTGCACTGCATGGTGCTATGGATCGTACTTTGACCATCTGGGGCTCTTTAACGTGCACACCATTCTAAGCACACGGTTGTTCTTTGCATATCGCCCCAATCGAAATGCGGTCATTGTTGCTGAGAATCGAACGAGCACCCTCGAGCCAGTGGTGAATCTAGGGGGGGGGGGGGGCGGAAGGGCGATCACCCTCCCCCAAAGCCTGTCAGCACCCCCTCTGTTCAGTGATTGCCATCCACCTGCTATCACTAGTTAGGACAAATGAGTGGGACCAATGTGAGCACACATTAGCAGTATTTATGTCATTACAAGGTTTTTGTGCTATAGTAAAAACAAAAAAAGTAAGGACCACGACCACCTTTCAGGTGTTACTTCACGTAACCGCGCCCCCCCCCCCCCCTAAAATTGGTAGCTTGTTCCGCCCCTGCCTCGACCTCAGGAACGCAACGTACTAAGCTACCACGGCGGCTATTTAGGAACGAAGCGCCTTAGCCCAAGAGGGCGTTGATGATCATGATGATGATGATGATGATGATGATGATGATGATGGTATGTGGCTGTTGGCGTTGCAGCGGCCTCCTTCGGGTGGCGACGAAAACCGGAGTGTGCGCGACTTCGACAAAGGGAGACTGAAGACGCCGCTTTCGACAGTGGTACATGAAGCCACGCCCCACATTCCCTGCTCTCTCTTGCATTAGCCGAAACTAAAAAAATCTCTAAGCTTCAAATAGTTTTAAGTGAATAGACGAGGAGGTCCTGTAGGTCTTTTTTATTTTTTTTTAGTTTCTTGAATAAACATTCGAATATTTTTGTCACCTGCAGTTGGATAGTAACTCATTTGCGCATTTTCTGGCTTACTGCACGACACGTTTCGTACCTTTTTTTTTTTTTAGTATTACATACGCCTTTTCCTAATAGAGAGAAAGAAGCCGATGCCTCTGTAAACGCATCGACCTCATCTATTCATCATTTCAATGAGAAAATGACGATGTTAATGTAATGCTCACTTAGTTAATCTTAAGTATTGTGTGTAGTTACAAATCCCGCCCCTAAAGCAGCTTAACAGGGAAACCTAAAAAAGACCGTAGCATGGGACAACCAGTGAGCCCGAACATCGCCTCCACAATCCAGCGTCAGCCGAGACAGTAGCGCCCTCTCTTGCATAGCACGGCTGTCAGCCGGTTTTTTTTTTAGAAGCGTTTTTTTTTTTTTGCAGCTTTAGACCCGTTATTTTGATTAACTCTCGGTAATTTCTGTATTTCATGATAATTTAGACCTTCTCAGTTTATTTTTGCACGGGCTTGAGCATTCCTAGACTTTTTTTTTTTTATTACGCCTGTATTGACAAAGCATTGCAAACGACGCGATTGCATTTCGTTGACAGCGATGCACAAGCTGAGGCTGCTACGTGGTTTTACCTGGAAAGTCCGTCGTTATTTGTTTTCTATTTTTTTATATTCATGCATGGCCTTACGCCGCACGGCGTGCACCTGTTTTTTGACGTGCCATTTATAAACGCTTCGTGCAGATGCGGCAATCGCATTAGCGCACGTAGTGGCGTTCGGCGCAGTTGGCGAGAACTTAGAAGAGACGATTCGGCAGCTTCAAAGAAATACCATCAACGATTTTGAAGCCGAGTTTACTCTATCGCATGAATCTCCTGTGTTCAGAGACGGCTCTGAATAAGTGTGAAGCTCAATAGATGCAGATAAGACATTCTATTTTGGATGCCGAAGCATGTCAAATGTTTACTTTCGCATGGTGCATGTACCGACATAGGCACGATGGTTGTGGTGACTTCAAGTAACAATAGAGCACCAATTCTGGTGACTTCACGCGCTCTAGCGGCTATTTGTGTTGACATCAAGTACCAATACAGCGTTGATTCTGGTGGCTTACCTCACAACTGCGGATAGTAGTGGTGACTTCAGGTGAAAATACAACGTCATTCTGGTGATTTCGCGCACTACTACGGGTAGTAGTGGTGGCTTCAAGTAAACAATACAACGTCATTCTGGTGACTTCGCACACAACTACGAAAAGTAGTGGTGACTTCAAGTAACAATACAACGTCACTGTGGTGACTTCACGCACTACTACGGATAGTAATGGCGACTTCAAGTAACAATACAAAGCCGATTCTGGTGACTTCGCGCACTACTACGGATAGTAGTGGTGACTTCAAGTAACAATACAACGTCATTCAGGTGACTTCGCGCACTACAACGGATAATAGCGGTGACTTCAAGTAACAATACAACGTCATTCTGGCGACTTCGCACACAACTACGAAAAGTAGCGGTGACTTCAAGTAACAATATGAAGTTGATGCTGCATGGTGACTTCGCGCACTACAACGGGTAGTAATAGTGACTTCAAGTGCCCAAACGTTCAATATGACCGCTTGCGCACCACCAACGGTACCACGCAGCGTAGCGGCCATGGATGCGTCACGATATCATGCGGAAGCAAGTGACAAAAAGCTCACGCCACGTTCTAACGTCAGGGTACAGTAGAAACCGAAACTAGATTTTACGGACGCGTTGTCATTATTTTTCAAGGTGCACCCACGCTTACCAGTATGCTTTATACTGACTATTGAGAAGCGGCATAGAAAGCGCGTACCAACAAGGCACACGTTCACAGGACAGGCGCATACTTTCATGTCTGTTTCGTCAAGCGATCTATTTTGTTTCCTTTTTTTTTCAGCTACTTTTTGTCAAGCCAATAGAAGCGATATGAGGCACCATATTCGAGACGCACCACACGAGTTTTTACCCAAACAACAACGTGCAGTCAGCCACGAAAAACCTTTTTTTTTTTGTTATTCTCTACGTTACTAGCAAGCATGAATTCTTTTCACGGCAACAACACACATTCCTTTCTATCTCCCGACATGTGCCCTAGCCCTGTTGCGCATCTAAACGGAAAGAGCAGTTAAGTGCTTAACTATTCGTAGGCACTTGAAGACTTCGACTTTCATTTGACTCCAAAACAAGTGCAATTTTTTTTCACGTCTGCACAGCCTCGTCAGCCGAAACTGATGACGAGTCACTCTGACGTCACACTGACTGGTGAACTTGAATAATAAAAAAAAGAGCTCACCTTGTAAGCTCCGTCAACGAGCCGCACCATTTCCTCGTACTCCGCCATACTTTCGCTAATTCACTCTTCTCGTGGGAATAAAATCCTCCGGAATTAATCCTTCGTGCACACAAACAACACCTCGCGCACTAACAAAAAAAAAAAACACACACTCACGTCAGCACCGCGGTAGCGCGAAAACACTGATATCATACACTGTGTTGGCACGTCGTTTGCGCAGGCTGTATCATCTCGCTGCTTGTGGCAGTTCACCGGCGCGCTAGAAAATAAAATAAAACAAAACGCTTGGACGTTGTACACTTCGTTCAAAGCACGTTGTACGAAATGGACAGGTAACCCGTTCGAAGCCGACGACACTCTCTGCACACAACTTGCGCACGCTGCTCTGCTGTGACGTTGCGTTAAAAGCGCTGCGACGCGAATAACACCCGAACTTCAGGGTTCGTCGTGGATGAAGAGCACGCGCCACGCCGTCGTCGGAAACAACCGGTGCCGTCAGGCGCTGGGTAGGCGCTGGCGCGGGATCGCATACCGATGCTGGCGTGGGAGAGGGTAACGCGTCTCAACTCAACCGTCCAATGGGAAAGCGATGCCGTTACGTCACTTCCGGAAGCGGCGGCGCAGCTGGACGATGCACGTTCGTGTCGTCTGCTTGCTTTTCTCTCTCTCCCCATTGGTCGGAGGGCGCGTGCCAGCGCGTAGAGGCGCGCGTCGTCTGCTGCCGCGCATAGCTTGCACTCTTGAATAGAGATAAATGCGCACGGAAAACAACGGAAGAAAAATACGTACACATAAACACACACACAGGTGCCTCATCCATCAATTCTGTTGTTGGCTACGGTCGCTACTTGGAACATCACATAACCTGAACCACGGCCGCGCCTGAACAAATAGATACGCAGCAGTTCGAAGACACCAGGAGTTGACGCTTTTAAAAGTGCCCGGTGACACTCAGATGAATCAGTCCCCCTATCTTTTTTTTTTTTGTCAGACCAAACGACGGCATGCTTTATCACCCCACCCCCATCTTCTCAATTCATTGCGTATTGATGATCTCTCCAAATGAACTCTTTCGGGGTAAATAAGTGCAAGTGAACATAACGTTCATTTAATAACCAGTTTGTTGGTATAATCGTTCAAGGAAAATATTATGGAAATTTAAGTCGTAGCACAGAACCTATAATGATGTTCATAACTCACTTTTTGGCTCAGGTCAAATTATTGTGGTACGGTTCCCAGATCTCTCCTTGTCGTATTCGAAGTTTTTCTAATATTGAATGAATTTAAGAAAATGAAAAGACATTGTATTTTAACGCCGCTGAATTTTTGTAAGAGTACAAGGAACTAGACATATTTAGGAGATGACCTTGATAACGTTAAGAATATATATATTGTTATTTTGTTTGGCTTTAGTGGTGACACAAACAGAAATGCTTGTGCAACCTTATTAGTGTTGTTTTACTGACGAGAAATCGTGTTCTCAAGTACGCGGTATGAAGATTTGACAATCACTTTTTGAAATTTGCTGCTATTAAAACTGCTGGAGTAATCAAATATGCCTTTGTGTGCAATGATCACATATCAACAAAAGAACTAATTCATAAAAGAAATATTTAACACACGTACAACAGTCGTATGCATGACGGAACACATAAACAACGTTACTCTCCAAATGCGTGTTTAAAACCAATACATCTAAGGAAATATTTCACTATCATGAAATAGATCCATAAAAGAAAAACAGGAATGGTGTTAATTTGACAAAACATCAATTTAATGATAGATTCCACATAAAATTTTGATGCTTTATACATTCGAAATACGTGCAGTGATAAAATTGAGCATACCCAATCATCAGGGCGAGAAACCTCCTGAAGCCTACCTCTTATTAATTAAGCACATAAATTAATTCATTGCATTCCCAAGCGGTTTAAATGAATATGTAGTATGCTTTCAACATAGTCGATGTTTTTGAGCAGTAAATTTTTCTTCCTTTTGAATCTTGTGCCAATAACCGTATTATAATCGGACAATTTATAATAAAATTACAGCCCAATAAAATGCGTCAGTTCTAAATGGACTATCCTATACTTCTCAAAGTAGTATTTTATTTGGCGAAGCTCCTCTCGCCGCTTGGCTAGGACACCGATGGTTTTCTTCGCTGACTCACGTGACTGTTTGGGCGAAATGGTCACTTATCGTCCAGGAAAATTTGTCTGTTCACGTTTCGTTTTTGTTTTTCCGCGCTGTTGAATTTCCTGCGCTGCCTTCCAGTTTATTTGTTACGTGTTATATGTTCTACTCTTGAAAATCTAACGAATAGCCGGCGCTTTATTTGGGCGCGAGCATCTCATGTGATATTCGTGACAAAAGTCGTCCCGCCGCGGTGGTCTAGTCGCTAAGGTACTCGGCTGCTGACCCGCATGTCGCGGGATCGAATCCCGGCAGCAGCGACTGCATTTCCGATGAAGACGGAAACGTTGTGGGCCCGTGCGCTCAGATTTGGGTGCACGTTAAATATCCCCGGGGGGTCGAAATTTCCGGAGTCCTCCTCTACAGCGTCTCTCATAATCATATGGTGGTTTTGGGAACGTTAAACCACCCATATCATCATCATCACCATCATCATCATCACCATCATCATCATCATCATCATCATTATCATTATTATCATACATGACAAAAGTCACCAAGCAGAAAAGCAAACTAAGATTTGGCCAGACAAGACTTGCGCATTCGCATGCAACGACATGAACACCCGGGTACGCATCGATATATGGGAAGCGTCGGGATACGTGCCCAATAACTTTGTTAGGCGCTTTCCTCACCCTCTACGAAGCCATAAAGAATTCGGCTTCCGTGATGCCAGCGGGTAACACGTCGTGGACTACATATTAGTGGACACGTGACCACGCAACTTCATGTAGTATAACTCCGAGTCCAACTCGCTCGAAAGTGTCATTCATTAAAGTTTGCTTCTCTAGCCTCCTGCCTAGTCGAACCTTTCGGGTGAATACTGAGACCTCCCCCCCCCCCCCCGCGAGTGGGTCAGAGAACGGGCGAGTTCTGAATTTCCAACCTGGCCACTCGGGCACCCACTTAGAGGGAGTGCATATCGTGACCGGCCAGTCGTGTGCCGAAAGCGGCGTTGAAATTAAGCTGCCGGCGTTGGCAGCAATTGCATAATCTCCGCTTTAGGCCCGACCGAGCTGATTTTATGCGAAAACATGATGCACCTCTCTGGAAGATGCCTGGAGCTCGGGAAAGCGTTCTATCCTTCGAGAGTGTCGCGCGAAGTATAGTTACGAAGAAGAAAGAAGAGTATTTGGAAAATGCGTGTGTATGTTGTACACCTCGGCCATGTAACTTGAATTCATGTACCTTGAATTTCTTGTTATTCAAGCTTTCTGCATATCGGTAAACATTCGCGTATTACATTTGTTTGAGTGTCAGTGACTAGACACGCTTTGTCACGATGTTGTGTAATTTTCTGTGTATTCCATGTTATTGATGACCGCCCTATTACTCTTTGAAGTTTGTACCCCCCTTACTCAATGCTCTCATTGAGCTCGTAAGGTATCATAAATAAATAAATAAATAAATAAACAAGAAACGCTGCGGTCTGTTTTTGAGTGAAGCTGTGACAGTTTAGAGTATATACTTTGCACTCTACTGAGGGAGAGCTGAAAGCCGTCCCTACTACTGGTCACCCGGGAGGATTTCGTGTGTTCAGAGAAAGTGGTTAACGATTTAGGGTACTCTATACTCTACTACGGAGGAGCTGAAGGCCGTCCCTTGGGCCCAACACTTGATGAGGCCGCATTTAACGTGTGTTTAGAAAAAGTGGGTTACGATTCAGAGTACTAGGTACTCCGCTATGGGGGAAGCATGATGCCATCCCGTAGGCCTCTCATTCGTTTGCACTTTGGGCTGCTGGGGGGTTAGAAAAAGTCTTTAACGATCTCCAGTACATTGTACCCAACTATGGGAGAGCTGTTAGCCGTCCCTATTAAGCACTAAAACCATTCTCTCCTTGGGGCTACTGTGTTTGGAAAAATGTTTAACGATTTCGGGTACTTAGTACTCAACTATGGGAGGGCACTGGGGAGCTCGAATTATAGGTGACAGTGGTGATCGCAGAAAAAGAAATCGGGTGCGGCCGAGTCTACAAAAATGCTGCCCTCAAGAAGTGTGCCGGTGACGCGCGTATTTATATGCGCTGTGTTTATATAATCAATGCTTCCTCAATCGCAGACTTGTCGGCGATCATCAGTTTCTCATTCGATAATCTGACCTTTTATTGAGGTCAGTTATAATTTTACGTGGCCGTATTTCAGTATTACTTGTATATAAATGCTTGACAGACATTGTTGCCTGAAGCACCTTAAGTTTTGCGCTGCTGAATACTTGAAACACTTAGGGCAGGGGGGCTCCGGCCCTAAATATTTCGACGCATAGCATAGTTGCGCACTTGCTCCGAGATCTGAGGCATTGCAGACACTCTGCATTTCCAGATGACATGATTCTGCATGATTTTGCGGGATGTTGCAAAGGCTTCGTAGTTGGCCCGCCATTGACCAAGCGACGATGTTGTGCCATGATTACAACATATTAAGTAACGTTGTGAATGAGTTGACAAGTTCTCGCGATGTGGGATGGCATGATGACGTCCCATGACGACGTCATTGAGGACGTCAGACTACGTTAAGGTCCTGACACTTTAGTACGCCGACTAAGCACACATATTCTCTTCAGTATCACGTGGTTTTTCACCGACATTTTGTGATTTTGTTGTTGTTTCGTTATTCGTCTTGATGCCGACGTCGGTCTCGCAGTGTATCGTCAGGTCTCGAGAAATGTGCGCAAGTCTCGCCGAATCTCGAAGACATTTTTACCCGTCAGACTGTAAGGCTTTGACCTTAGCACAAGAGCGCCACAAATGCCTCTCCTTTGTTTACACGAGTGAGTCCAGACAACCGAGCAGACGTTGAAGAGCAATTTGCCGCACGTAAACAACTCCTGGCCGACATTTCGGACTCGCGGTCACGCCTTTCAAGCCTCTTATTTGCATCGTACGGGCAGAGACAGCGATAGCGAAACTGGGTCTTACAGAACAGTGTTCGCAACGCGTTCTCCTGCTATATACACTTGTCACGTGTCATGCCGGCGTCGCGAATGTCGCATTCGTCGTCGCTCAAACGCTTCTCCGTCTTCCGGCAGGGAACAACACCGCGTGGCGACCCAGATAAGCCGAGGTCGGGCCAGGTGCTAAACAGGTGCGCTGACGTGGTGTCACGGAGCGGGAAACGCGTTGGTGTGGAGCTGGGCTTTCCATCGTGTACCTTGAAGAGCATCTGTATAGAACTACGCAAAGCAACGAAACCTGCAACGCAGTGAGATAGATAGATAGATAGATAGATAGATAGATAGATAGATAGATAGATAGATAGATAGATAGATAGATAGATAGATAGATAGATAGATAGATAGATAGATAGATA